CCCTAGTGGCTGTGTTGGACAGTCCCTGAGGCTGAGCATAAGGGGTTAGTGACTGGTTGGGTCCTGGACTTCTAACAATCTTATTCTGTGGCTGAAAAGCCAATAGAACTCTAAGAAAGAAACCTTCTCTCTCCTCTCTAGAACTGTGTGGAGGCAGAGGTCCTGAATTCAAGTCCAGATCTTACCTTTTAGAGGCCATCCTAAAAAAAAAAAAAAAATTGTTACATGCATGTTTAATTTATCAGAGTCTAAATGTAATTAATATTTTTACTCTTCTTCGAAACAGTACAAGGACCTTGGAAAACTTTAATCCTTATTACCCATCTCCCAGCTCATACCCTAATGTTATCAAGTATTTTAATTCCATCTTGTTTTTTCACTTAATGAGAAATTATTGTCTACTTACATGCCATAAGACAGAACAAGGTCACATAGCTACAGTAAGTTTCAAAAGAGACTGAGAAATATACTCTCTAGATGGGTGGATATGTGCACAACTAAAATCTGAAAATTCTATTGTTAAAGATGGAGAATGGTATTAGCAGACTACCATAAAGCTATGATACACATACAAACCTACTTGGATTATATTCTGTATTTAATTATTCCAATATCTATAGCTTTTGTGGATCTGATCCTGCTATTTTGTTTTGTTTTGTTTTGTTTTGTTTTGTTTTGTTTCGTTTCGTTTTGTTTTGTTTCTTGCTGGCTTTCACTCCTGGTGTCTGTTTTCATTTGTGGTTGAGATTTATGACTACACATTTATTTTTCTTGTAATGTTATCTGTAGAAGTTCCTTGAACTTGCATATTTTGGCCAAGCATATGGAGGCATTACCAATGGAGGATTCTTTTAAATTAAATGATAGGTTTGAAGACAGAAATAAATGGCATAGATAATAGAGACTTTGTTCATCCCTCTGTCAACCAAATCAAAGTTGTGACAGAAACATGGAGCAAACAACAAGCAGAGTCACCTGGGATCTAGATGAACAGAAGCACTACAACTAGGGAGAGAAATAAGAACTCACCCAGCAATGGTAGAAGGTAGGAGGGGGCAAAGAGGTGAGGTTGTTTGGTCCGAGCAGCTGAGTGGGACAGAGGCTGCAGCATGGAAGCCAGCAGCTGCAGACGCCTCTTAAAGGGGCCATGACTGCAAGTGGACTTTCATGGTGATGGACCTGCTCACTCTGGGCACCAGCGCTGGGTCAGCTGCATGGAGGGAGCACCAGGGACTTACAGGGGAAGATTGAATTGTTGGAGCAAGGGCCAGAGGTGAGGCTTCTCCCTGGCAGAAGTGTTGGTGGTATCCATCGTTCTTCTGTTGATCCCTCCCCACTCCCAGTGTGCAGCTGCAGAGCCGCCATAGCTGAGACATCATCAAACTGTATAACAGAGGTCACTCCGCCCAGAGTATTCCATGAAATTCCACCTCCCCCAACTCACAGCCCCACCCAAAACACATCCAGGAGTGCCCTCAGTGAGTCTGGTGCTCCTTGCTGAGCAGTGCTAAGACTCACACTGGTGGCAACTGACCACTGTGTCTGCGGAGCCTCTTGAGGCAACTAAAAC